GTTTTTAAGCTGAAGCTGTACGCGTACTATCTCGTTTGCACCGTCTTTGCGTACTGACCGGTGGAGAGGATGGCCACACAACATAAATCCAACTTGCCTTTGAATTTTATTTGCCTTTATCTTTTAAGATACGGGATGATAATAATAAATCTTACCCAAGTACGTGATGATGTCCAAAGGGAATGCCTTGGTTGAAGTTACGGCGGTGAATTGCGATATGTAAAACAGTTTACGAACGGAAATGTGTCTAGGCTCCTGTAAGGGGCACCATAAAATCCCACATCATTCTATGCATATACCAGAAAGAATACAAAGATTTGTGACCATCGCGTAAACTTAAATCATGAAGCAACCAAATTCTAAGCAATGACCTTCAGAGATCCGAGATACCCTAAGAAATAATTTAAATGCATGTCGAAGTAATTGTGTCGAAAACACGAATATTTCCCAAATCAGACTTCGGGGTAGGCGGATTCGGCTGGAGCAGCTTCTTACTTGGAGAAAAGGGCTTACAAAAATAATTGCCAAGCCGTTACCACTAAATGTCCTGTCAGGAAAGTTGTGCCAGTCTTTGTACGCTCTCACCCTTAGCTCTGTGTGCTTATAGACGCCTTTATTGTTTGCATCCAATAATTTAATGAGGAACATTGAGTGGTCCATTCCACGGGGCGAGTGGCCTAAGCAGAATATAGACCAGTTATGTGAGGTGGGAACCATCAGTAAGTGTTTTGTTCTGTGGGCCACGCGCGCGCACGATTAAGAGGCAGAAAAGAATACTTGACATCGACAAGCTTGGAAGCGGACTGGCGTATGCATATCGGATCCCGTGTAAAGTATAAGTTGCCTTCTAAACCTTCTTGTTATAGTGTTCTGATGGCATTTCATTTGTATTTGTTCCTACACATAGATCCCAGTGTCTTTTTTCTGCCTCTAAGGCTGTCCCTTTAATATGATATTGATTTGCGGGGGGCATTTCTACCGGCGTCTAGGGGACAGAACACGCACGTAGATATATAGAATTTTGAAAACAACTTCAACTTTTAAACTTCATTGACCCTTCCGTTAAGGCTTTCTCGTGAGTCCTCCTAATCGTAACACTTCCCCTGCCCAAGTTTATTAGGGATATCGTGGTTAAAAGTGTAATGATAATTGGGGGAGGGAAATTCATGTGATAAATGCACAGTAGGAAATAGACTTGTGATTGTTTTACTGAACTAGAAACCAATGTTGAAAGTATGCAGAAAGAATAAAATCGATCAACATAAACTTCAATTGGTAAAAAAACGATGCTCATAGGCCAATAACAATAGAAGAATAACTCCCGTTGGTTGCTATAATGAAAGAAAGGTATGGATAGGCGGCAGTTAAATCTGCTGAAAATGTGGAAGTGGTTTTTATTGTTAATCTGCGACAAAAGCGACCTCACAAGGAAGCTCTATTCAACTTCCTTGGGTCATAAATGGTTTACTTCAATCCATATTTTTATGTCGTCCATGAAAATTGGAGCCCAAGTATACATTTGGCTGGTGCAATCCTTCCCCGCAATCCTCCGAAAAAAGGAACCTAGCGGCAACTACTTTGCACTTTTGCCCACTGTGTGGTAAGACTACAAACGAGGTCTCCCTGTATTCTGGAGACCGAAGAACTGATCATTTTCTATATTCTTCCTCGAATTTCTACGCCCAAATCTTCCATATGTAACCATGTAATATTTTGGGGTTTGCAAACGAATGTTGCAGTATGTTCTGTCCCGAACATTCTTCGCTGCTCTCTATCTCCACTTTAACTAATGTTGCATTGCTGCTTATAATCCCGTAAGTGCTTTTCGGAACCGGTTATTCTGCATCACCTCCAAGTGTGCTTTATTTCTGCAAGAGATTTGCCATTGCGAATCTATCCACTTTGGGTGCTTTGTGATGGCGCTTCTTCTGAGAAGCCAGTTAAGGTAAACCGTCCTTATCAATAATGAGAAGAAATTCGCACAGTCGTTAACTGTTCTACCAGGTATGCCTGTTTCCCATGCTATCTCAGAAATTTCTCTTCTCATAAATGGATAGTCCTACCTTGAAATGTTTCTCTCCCACCTCTGAAGCAAACGTTTCTTTGGAAAACAGTGTGTATTCAACGCACAGCCTACTGCAGTCGTTTGACCCTAATGTTGAAATATCCCACAGATCTATCACACTTTCCTTTTCTAGCATAAAGACCTGGTCAAGGCAGTTTGACTATTGACTTTCCCTGGCCCGTTTTCCAAAGGTAAAGCTCTAGCAGAGAAATGTGTCTGTCGCTCATTCTAGTTGTTTTTCACTAATATTATCTGGCAGCCTCCCACAACTAATAATCCATAAAATCCTTAACAATGCGGGTATCGCTCTTCTTACTGCCTTATACACGGCAGCAAAATAATGAAATCATGCTAATAAATCCGCTTGGGTGAACTCTACGCCAGTAAATGCATCGGTGGACAAAAACTCCTCGCCTAAGTGCCTCCCATCCCATACCGTACTAAGTAAATCAGCCATTATGGTTAGCTTGAGGGTGACATAAAGTATAACTCCTCTTCCTCCTTTTCTTCTACCATTCTTAAATTGTTGATTACCACTCAGTGATATTTCGAAATCTGCGAAATCTGCAAAAGGCCACGTTTCTGTGATTCTTGTTAGCAGTGTGGAGCTACACATTCGTCCGCTATATCCGACATCGTCTATCCATTTCTAGACAAAATGTCCCTCAGGCTGACAGTTGGGTAAGGAAGCAAAAATGTGATGATTTCACATTTATGCCAGTTTTTTTTCTAGAACTCGGAGGAAGAATGTTAGCTTATGCAAATACTACTAGAGTCAATAATTCTGAGAATTGGAATGATTAACAATACCAGCGCCGGTATTTTGAATAACTTGCGTACTAAAGAAATGCCGCTTGGTACTTTTTTTAAAATCTTTCTGTATTCTCTTGTGAATTAATTGTTTGTTGGTGTCAAACATACCGTATAACCTATATTATATACTCATTATTGTTTTAAACAACACTAACAGGGATTTTGATACTCGTGATTCAAGGTTAGCTCTGCGCGGAAAAACAAAAGTGACATAAATACCTGTGTACCTGTGTATTTAGAACGTCGTCTGAAATTCCTGTGACGTTTCCTTGGCATATGGACAGCGGTCCCTCAATTGCAGTGTAAGATTCTGTGTAAACGTTTCCGGTCTATAGTTTCTGCCTTATTTCTAAACCTTGCACGTATTTTCCGTCCATGTAATTATATATTAAGATGGACGTATACGTCCATCTGCACATTCTTGTCTGCACGAGACTTAGTTTCAACTTGGCTGAAAAAAATATATTATTCGCAGTTGCGATGGGATAGTTTTGTGTTAATTGCTATTATAATTGCAGTTTTAATCAAATAAGAATGTAAATATAGCGAAAATTAGAGTGAAATAATTGTATTTACATACTGAAATGATACGCAAACCAAATTGTTACTGGTTCGTTTTGTGTATTGTTTATTTGAGTTATTCTTCCTGTTTAGCGCTCAATGGACTAGATAGATGAAATAATGAGGATATCTGGATTTTTCTTATATAAGAATGTATATGCATATTGATATTCCTTATAAGCATTATAATGCTAATAGCGGGCTAAACACGGAAATGACAATTCTTTTAAGTTAAATTTATTCAAATTTGACTGAAATTTAATTTATCTGGTGCGAATTTCTTTTTTCATATTCCCGTTTCCAAAGTATTTTTTACAAGTTTGGTATACATTTAGGGCAGACACACATAGCAAGTGCACACCAAAAGGCTCGAATCAAGAAGATGATAAGATACAGAGACTGACGGTACGTTTTTATAAATGATCTGTTTAAGTTTGGTTTTTTCTTTCGTTTGAAATACGTGATAGAAAAAAATGTTCACTTTTGAATCCAAAAGGAGTAACGTGATTTTAATTAACAGGTTAATTCTCATGGTATTCTATGCGGCTCTTAAATATTGAATTCCTCGACCTTAAAGTTTTATACGAAGTGTGAGGTGTACAAGTTCTTTAATAATCTCAAACAATCCAAATAATGAAGGCCATAGTGTTTTGTGTACATGTTTATTTTGTTGATAAAAAAAACTCGTCACACCATTAGACAATTTTGTAATAAACGACAGCAAGAAAACTATTATTGCCGATAGTTTGATGTAAGCACCTTTAGGGTTTGAGTTTTAAAAGGTAATATGCTAAACTCATTCTAGCTTAAAAATTATGTAATTCATTTTACCCAAGTGTTAAAAACCTCGCGGTCTCGTCAGGCTTCAAACACACGCCAGCATGGGAAGGCTGTAGTACAGCCAACGCTCTAGCCAGCTGAGCACTCGAAGCCCCACTGGAAACCATGCGTTTAACATCACTGGGGTAGGTTTACGCGCCCAGCCTTATGCAATGTATGGAATCCACTTATTCTGGTACAGTAATCTGACTGTCCACGCAGGATTACCTATGCAACTAACCTAGAATCCACCAGATGACTACCAGGAACACTCAATTATTATTAGGCGAGGTTTAGCAGATTTCCGCAACTAAATTGACCCAATTGTGAAAAAATTGGCAGTCAGCTTACGGACGGAAGTTCCTGGTTAAAGCGCTTGCTGTTTGTTTATTTATTAGTTATTCGACCAAAAAGTTTAAGCGACGTTAAACCATGGGTAAAACTTCACATTATTTATAAAAACCTTCATGTCGATATTTTTATGTCGAGGGGAATGGTCATTGTCTTCTTTATGAAATAGTACGAAACTTTCAACGATTCATAACGATCATGTTCAACTAACTAGGATACGCCAAACGGACACATCAAAGTGGCGCAGGGTGCATGTGCCACCATTAACTGCCCAATTTCCACGAAGGAATTATCGGTGGATGTGACGAGGCTCAGTGTGCCCTCAGATATAACCAACGGGTCACACCAGAAAATGTTTATCGTTTGTCCGTCTCGACAAGTAGCCGATCAAATGCTCAGTCTAAAAACACACCGTTTCGAATATTGTGACGGCTGTTGTCCACCGTCAATTGCTGAAGATGCTGCTTCACAAACTGAGCCTAATGTGAGTGCACAGATGGGAGCACCTCCACCTTATATTTATTTGAAGGAGAAGAGGATCGCCGAGGAGTTCGAGAACGGCATATCTTCCACGGATGAATCCATCTACAGTACATCTGTTTCTAGCAGAAACGAAAGTAAAATTTCCGAACCACCAGCAGGAAAGAACAATAGTATTGTCACGATGTGAGTTGTGTGTTAATTACCTTGAATTTTCTCCGTTTATTTTCCACTGTTTTTTGTTTATTTGACGGACTTATATTTCTTGAAGATTTTTACTCTCAATGATAGATATTTAAGAGCAGCTGGTAACCGACTCAAAAATAAGAAATCAACTGGGCTCAATGAATGCACAAATATGGAAGAGGAAGAAGGGTTGTGGAGCGCCGGATCAATTTGTTTATTGTTGTGAGCTTTCGCGCTCTTGTGGGGCGTCTGAATTGCACACCGTCCTAAGGCTATCACTTGCAGTCAGGTAATGAAACTAAAAGACCCACTGAACCCCAATTAATAATCCGACGTAGTGTATCACATCCCATGCTTAAATTGCCCCTGTAACTATAAAGGGCAAACTGAACGCACGTTCGGTTTGCACATACACAAACATAAGCTGGCTGTCAGACGTGGTGACGCATTGTCGCAGGTTGGCTGCCCAGACCTATGAGACGGGCTACGACTTTAACTTTGCAGCGACGATGATAATTGCTTATGCCGGCAGCAAGACCAAACACGAACTCATTGAAGCCTGGGCCTCGGATGAAAACTCAGTGACCACATGTATTCGGCTTGCGCTCGCATACATCGCCTTCCGCAGGAACATCCACACGGCTGAAACCGCTGATTAATGATTTCTCCCTCCTTTTGACGTTTCATTGGCTACTACCCCCTACAAATGTTGCTCGTTTGTCGTGGACGCTTTTATCTCTGACAATGGACTCCCGCAAGAGCCCGAAAGCCCAGAACAATAAACAAATTCATCCGATGCTCGACAACCCTTCTTTCTCTTCCATGCAAATACCTGGAACGCGAACATTTTCTTTCATTCATGAATACACAATCAGTTTAGCTATTTTGTTCTCAGTGAATTGTGAGGCACATTGGTCCAAATAGATAGTGAAATTCACAAACCTCCAGAACGCATATTGCGTGAGGTCATTTCTGATTTAGATTTAGATTTTGAACTTAAATTATCTATCTTGGTTTCTTATTATTAGGTCTTTCTTCTGGTATTCTGATGAACCATCTAGTATGAACAGTGCAAAGAAGTTTAAAAGATTCGGATTAATTATCGGCTGCATCTTTTGTGAAGCAGGAAATGAACAAAATCTTTGGGAATTTGTATATTGTTCATCAGTTGTCTACTTTTTTGACTCAGACCCGAAACTAAAATTATTTCCTAATGTTCACTTTTCGTGTTTGGTCAAACGGTTTTCCAAGACCTAGGCGGATTTGAATGTAACTACTGTTTCCTAACAGATCGGGAACAGTAGACGTCTACTGACTGCGAGGTCCAGTGGGACTGCAATTGATCCAGACAATATTGTGTTGGATGTGTGGCTTGAGATCTCCTATGTCCATACTGCCTGGCTATGAGGGCGTTAATCCTTTCCAATAGCCATGTCTGACGAGACGGCTTGTTCTGAGAGTTCCCTACTTACTTAATCTGATATACATTTATTTTTGGCATTCCAAATATCCAAAAGTGTCTTTTTCGCATTCGCATTCATCGCGTATTTTATTCATAGTCGATCGAGATTCCAATAAAATAAACTTTTTTTCGTATAAATTGGAAATCAGGCATCTCAAGAAATGTAATTTAAAGAGAAGACGTTCTTTGGGACAATAAGGTAGAATTATTCGGTGAATTTTTGAGACTGGTTGTTCAGCTCGTCTTCAGACTAGAGAGAATATGCAACGGACCATTAGCATTTCAAAAGTGCAGAAAAAAAGCAATAGTCATATGGACTGAGCACTGATTGGTAACTGTGGTTTATGTCAGTCCGTATTATTCCGCCCGTTTGAACTTTAAATTGTTCGTTGCATAGTCATTCTAGTCTGAAAACGAGCTGGGGAACCAGTCTCGAAAGTTTACCGAGTAACTCTACCTTATTGTCCCAAAGAACGTCTTCTCTTCAACGAACTTGTTTTTGTTTCTTGTGGAGAAAATAATTTGATACAAAAGGCAAAAGGTCGTCTTTGTCGTCAGTATTTCAGGATGTTAAGTCCGTTAGGGCGAGAATGATTGGCGAGGTCGAATGTAAGAGAATGAGTCTCTAGCTCGTGTTTTAAACAACCTTTCAGCGTATGAAGTCGTCTGCTTTTGGGGGAAACCTGAGGCTAATTAGCACACGAAACATCTTGCGGTCAACGTAATTCTTCATAGATAGTATTGCCGGCAAAAACAAGGGGGACTAGCATGGCCATTTCTGACTTATTGGCCGTCTTCAACCGTTAGCAGTGGGTTAACGGTCATCAACGAATATCAATACCTCCTGGCCCAAACCGGCAAAACAATGATTTCGTGGCTAAATGGTTAGAGCATTAGACTCTGAACGAAAGGGTCGCGAGTTCGAGCCTCGGGTATTGCACCACTTGGGGCTGGCTATTACTAGCGGATGACGGCTAATGAGCCAGAAATGGCCATTCCAGTCTCCATTTTCTTTGCCGGTACTGTTATCAACTTAATTGTTTTTCGTAGAATAAAATGCTATGATAACTATAGCCTGCTCTGTGGCATGCAAGGAAAAGCGGCGTGGTTCGTCCAATAAGAAAAATTCAGCAGGCATGGCGATGAAAGCCAGCGCTTTTTAGCAAGACTCCCTCTGATGTGGTGCCCCAAGTTCGCACTGAGTGCTCTACATATGAGCTGTAATCAGGACTATCAGTCTATAAATCAATCTATGTTTCGTTCCCTCTAGCTCGCAAAGTGATCCCGATCTGAATATGTGGTCATCGCCAATCTGGTAATGGAACATGTGTGTTCCGGCTTTGCCATGGAACTCAATTCAGAACCCTCGCAGGCAGCCGCATAGCGACAAGTAGGATAGGATGGAGGGGAACAGTGGTTTACCTTGTCTTTGCCGGTTCCACTACATCCTGACCCTGTCTTTTGGGACTAAAAGTCTGAACTCTTCGTATCAGATGACGAGACCAGGTCTGTATGGTCGAGTGGTGTTGTGACCTAAATTCAGCCGCTTGTTTATCAGTGATTGCGCGTGACCAGATAACGCAGTTCGGAGAGTATTGGCGGCCAATAGCCTACACATGCTATCGATTTATATTTTTGCATTTCATAGTCTGTTAAGGGCTGCATTTGCCTTGAGAACTTTACGTTCTACTGCAGTTAAAGGTCATTAGGAGTTTTTATGCATTTTTATGGATCTGAGATCATAACATATCAACGAGTAATTTTAAGACGCAAATATGGATGGGATGTAATATAGCATCTGCCAAGACTTTTTTAGATAAGACTAATTAGGGCGTAATTTTGGCTTGCATGTCTTAAAGCTGTAGCTTGCTGCGTGTCTCTAGTGTCATCCGCTCCTTGAATTGCATTATTGTCAACAGAAGACGGGAAAGCGTTCTCAATATGCCAATTTATAAGCCTCTCTTTGAGGACGGTATTCGACGTCCTTATTGATCGATGTGTTCGAATGGCTTTAATTAGCCTTAAAATTAAATGGCTGGTTACATTAATGACGTAAGATTCTAGTAACAGAAACTAGTAGATGAGAAACTTTATCTGACTTAGGGTCTTCTTGAAGGTTCTGGTGACTCGCATGCATAATTTTAAAATTGGCTACGCTAAACCTTCCTATCATGCTCAACTTACAACAGATTTTGTTCTGGATTTGCACGCCAACCGGTTCATAATTTATTCCACAAAATCTTTTATTGTTATTTCCTTATCAAACTTCCAAGTACCTTCGAACTACTGAACTACTCTGACTGGTATGAAAAAAGTCGTTTAGAAGATTATAGTAGTCATACCTGCTATTCGCTATACCAGTTGTAAATTTCCTATATTACTCCTTGAACTTATGAGTCTTTTCTAGGGACGGGCTTTCAACTCTCTTGAGCGCTGAGACAAAATATTTAAATATCTGCAATATGGCTTAGGTACAGAGAACTCGTCATTATCTTTTAGTGATTGAATTATTACTTTCTGCTGTCCTCGATGGAAAACACTATTTTACAAGAGTGGCCGATGACAGCTAATCAGTCAGCGATGGCCGTTTAAGTCCTCCATGTCTTTGTCGGTAATTTTCATTTGCCTACATTACTAACCGCTATGCAACTGCTAGCGGGGCTGGAGCATGAGTTCCCAGGCAAAGCGAAGGGTTAAGTGCGCTTCGTTAGCGATCAGTAAACGTTCATCAACGAACGCCATTTTTGTCCGAGTTTTATTAATTCAGTGAAATTATCTTTGATTTCCGAGGGCTGCATCAAGTAAGGATGACATAGATGGCCGCAAGAACAGGACGGGGGAACAGAAACCGCCCACAATGGATGTGGCTTTCTGTCCAATTCAGGGGAAATTAGGTGTAGTATCAAGGTAAGGGTTAGGTTTAGGGTTGGGGCTAGGAATAAAAGAAGAGCCAAAGTTTTAATTCGTGTTAACTTTAGACTTAGGGTAAAGTTAGGGTTAGGTTTAAGGTTAACGTTTAGGGTTATAATAAGGTAATTGTTAACGACTAAGACGCGGAAGTATTTACCCTTCCTGAAATTGATCGCAAGACCGCTTATTTTAAGTGGGTGGGAGGGTGCCCATTCTCGTGCTCGGTTTAGGCGGCCATACAAGCCATCTTTATCCTACACTATATTAGTATGCAAGTTGATTATTTTCTGGACCTGATTTGACGTCGTTATTCCCCCTCCCCAATAGTTTTTCAATGTGGAGCACAATGATGGGCACTTCGATTCTCACAATGCCTTGGGCGATCCAACAAGTGAGTCCTTCCAGTTGCAGTTTTATGCTATTGGAGCTGAGTTTGAGCGCATTCGGTTCATGCAGACTCTGGTTAGTATTCTGTCCTAATATTCTTTCAGAAAGGTTCCTTTAAAAACCCCTTCTTGCCTAACTAGGCGGGCTTTGTACTCGGGATCTTCCTCATAACTGTGGTTGCTTTCGTGATGTGCTACCTGGCCTACCGCATCCTTAGAGCCTCTTCAGAACTCGCAGGTACGTGTGCAAGTATTAACCGAAAAATGTATTCCATAATTTTTTTTTACTTGGAAGAAGGGAATTCAGATGCGTCCGAACAGCAATTAAGGCTCGAACCCGCGACCTGTTGGTGGACGACGACTCTGATTATTGAGTCATGGGCTCGCTGTCTTGCCGGTATGATCGGGAATACTAACATTGGTAGCTGGGCGTTTACAGATCGCCACTCGCCCCGTTCTGGTTTGGGGCTCACTCTCGACACACAGCAGCAGCCATACAACGACTAGTATTATAGACAGAAGAAGGTTGCCAATAAATACAAGGAAAACTAGAATGACCATTTCTGGCTTGTTCGCCGTCATCAGCCAGCCATACCCAATCTCACGTGTGGCGACCTCCGTAGTCTGATCTCGCAATCAGCTTAGTAGAAGTCCAACGCCCTAAATATTCAATTTTCACGGCACTCCTCTTCTGGTCATAATACTAGCAGCTGTAGGGCTGCTGATGGGGTTTGAGAGTGAGCGCCAAGGCACTACGCGAGGAGTGAGCCTCATATCCGATCCGTGAATGCCTATCCACCAATGTTGATATCCACGATCGAAACCGATAAGAAAACGGGCCCGTTACTGAAGGTTCGTAGCGTCGAGCTTCTAGCTAGCAGGACACGGGTTTGAGCCTCTGGGGTCGCAACACATGAAGTTCGGTATGACTGGCTGATGACGGCTAACGAGCCAGAACTGGCCATTTCAATAGAAATCAAGTTTTTACTGATCCAGTTGCCTAATTTCTGTTACTCACCTTCCTATAGCGTTCACTTGTGCTGACTTATAACTGTTTGTGTAGGATGAACCGAGGAAAATGATATTAATTCACAGGTATTTGTAAGTCATAGCGCCCTAGTTAACCTGCAAAGCTGGTCTTTTAGATCGCAATTTTGCCAACAATGGCAATTAGTGTCCACCGTTATAATTTCTGATCTCACTTTATAAACTTGCAAATGCAAAGTTGTGATAATTACTTACCTAAAATTATTGTAGGTGTTGACTTTCACGTTTTACGTGCGTTTAGTCTATTCTTCGATGATTTGGCGATAGAGCACCGGTCAGCTGTTTCCAAACCAGGCTGGCCTTCTCACCTAGACCGGAACATAACCATCACGGTTTGATGTTCGTGCCCAGTTAGGCGTCCTCACGATTATTCTACTCTCATACATGGGTGACCTTGCATTCTGGTTGAAAGTTATTTTACTTGCATGTGAAGTGCTCGCGCACATATGCCTGTACACAGAACCGCTCGACTTTGAAGTCTCCTGTTAGGTCCACTCAACTGCTAGCATAATAACTGTAGAGTTTCGAAAAAGCGGTCGGATTTGCTAATATGCCACTCCTTACCCACATGATAGGGAAATGAACGCCTTCGCATAATGCAGCTTGCTCTGTGGTAACGTCTAGGAAGGAATAATAGGTAAGGATGACTTGTATGGCCGCCTAATCAGGCCACGGGAATTGGAACGCTCTGCTCACTTAAAATAGGTGGCCATGCGATAAATTTCAGGAAGGGTAAATATTCCTGTCTTAACCTTAACCCAAAACTAAACTGCAACCTTAATGTCGACCTTAACTGTCGTACAATAAACACGAACCCAAACCTTAACCCTTAACATAATCCTGCCCTTAATGCCCCAACTCTGACCTTAACTCCGACCCCAAACCCAACCCTTATCTCCGGAATTTGTTGCAAAGCCTCATGTATTGCGGGCGGTTCCAATTCGCATGTTCTGTTTAGGCGGCAAGTTGTCCTTACCGATTAATATCCCTGGGCTTTTACCGTAACCTCAACCCTAAATCTAATCCTAGCTGTAATCCTAAAGTTAACCCTAACCATTAACGTATTCCTGACACTGATCTTAACCGTAACCTACTTAAGTTTTAAAGCTAACCCTAACCTTAACTTTAACTTTCATTTCTCTCGAATTTATTTCAAAGCCACCTGTTCGATGGTAGACTTCTGTTCCGGGGAAATTACTATGCGAAATTGGAGTAAACTTTTCGGAGCAAATTAGTTAACGCTCTGTCCGAAAGGAATATACGAGTTGAAATCGATCAGCTGCTGCGAAATAACTTCATAATATTCACAAGCCCCCGATAGGCAGTCAGTGATTTACCATACTGACAGCACAGGTACCAGCTGAACGCTGAGACCCGTCGGCTTCCCTCAACCTGCACCAGTGCAGGACGCAGCTGCGAGAGCTTCGGTTCATCAGTTGGTCCCCCAGTATCTCCTGTTTCCGACGGTTTTACTTCAACTTTATGCAATAATTTCCGCCCGAAGTAAGCAAAACAGCATAGAAACTGATACATGTTCGCAAGTCTTGCCACAGCGTCATGTAGGCTAGCCCCCTTCCCACCCCTCCCCCCAAAAAAGCTCCCCCTTCGCTTGTATAAGAAGAAAAACAGTAGCGTTGACGTCTCTTTTTAATTTTGGTCTGTCATTTTATGGAACAAAACAAACCCATTCAGTCGCGGGCGCTTAAGAGTGCTTCGGGGCAAAGTCAGCAGTCAGATTTGAGTCACGCGAACCAATGTCAAACACATGAAACGTGCTATCACTGGAGATTTGAAAAACAAATATCACGGGAAAACAAAAAAACATGAAAGTGAAACGACGAAAAAGGGTTCGTAAGGGTACCCAGACGAACATCATCATGCATTAAAAAGTTTCAATAAGACACGTTAATAGGAATCGCCCGTGGTACAGGTGTCCAGGACGCTTAGTGTTAAGCTTAAAGTGGGGGTTAGGATGACGGTTTGGACATGCCTTAGCTTTATACAGTAGTCGCCGGCTATGTAGTCCACGGTAATAGACCCAGCCGCATATTAAGCCCAAATCAGCTTGGGACGGAATTTTACATAGCATCCGCCGGCTAATAAGCCCAGTCGCCGGCTACAAAGCCCAGTTTGCCAACATGATAGCCGCGTATTAAGCCCAAATCAGCTTGGGACGGAATTTTACATAGCAAAATTCCCAAGTCAGCTTGGGACGGAATTTTACATAGCAAAATCCGCCGCGTATTAAGCCCACATCAGCTTGGGACGGAATTTTACATAGCAAAATCCGTATTAAGCCCAAATCAGCTTGGGATGGAATTTTACATAGAAAAATCCGCCGGCTAATAAGCCCAGTCGCCGCACGGAATTATAAATAGCAAAATCCGCCGGATAATAAGCCCAGTCGCCGGCTATAAAGCCCAGTTTGCCAACAGGATAGAGTGAGATTCTCATCTCTCTGCGTGCGCAACTGGTTACATGATTTTGGTCAGTCTTACGCAAAA